ATTGTCTTCTGTTAACATATTTCAGAACATTACTCCTTCTACCCAGGGGGGCCATATTCCAAGACCACCAGTGGATGCCTGAAACCATGGCTATTACTGAACCTGTTTTTCCCTACATATAAACATATCTATGATAAAGTTGAATTTATAAAATGGAACAGTAAGAGATGAAAATTAATGACTAATAAAAACAGAACATTTATAAAAATATATTGTGATGAAACTTGTGTGAATGTGCTGTCTCTGTATATAGTATTTTTGCATAATATTACAAAATATTTCAGTGGATTACAGAGACCGGGAAGTGAAACCATGAATAAGTGGGAGCTACTGTATTCCTTGAAAGATTCTAGGGGAAGCATATACAGATTTGAGGCTCCATCCTTTGTTGTTCCCACTTTGTTAGGATTTTCTTATATAGTTTTTAGGAAGTCTGGGAGCTATAAAAACTCTGGATCTGTTCTGGTATGCTACATGAACTGGGGGTGTCCTCATATGAAAACAGTTAAATACTGGTGCCATCACATAAATATGGGTCACAGTGTGCTCCCCCCCTTCCTTTAAAGATCATTTCCACTCCAGTTTCTGACCAATTCTGGTAGCATCGTCTTCACATATTTTTTATGTTTTTGATCAGAATTTTTAGATATTAGCAAAGGGCATACATCACTGTCAGAATCTGATGCTGCTGGGTTCTGATTTACTAATTCTTGTTCTTTTAAAAATAATTTTCTTCCATATTCTTTCCTGTTATTTTTTATTCCCCTACTTTCTTGAGTTGAAGACAAATGAAAGCAATGCATGTTTTTTTCTTAGCCCAAAACATTAGTAATTCAAGGCAGATGACACACTTCACATAGGTGTGCAAAGAGCACTGTTACATGTCGTTTGAGATTGTAAATTATACCTTTCGAGGCCAGTTTGGTGATACAATGATTAAACTCAATATTCTGCTCCATTAGCACTCATACAAAATATTGACAATCCTATTGGTGAGCAGTACCACAGTTTCACTGTCAATGGACAGAATAATACGGTTAAAAGAAATGGTGTGTTCATGGAGATAGTATGACATATATTAAAAAGAATAGAGTTAGGTCTGAGTACTAGTGTACAAATAAGTCAGAGAGCAATAAACTTGTTTTTATTTATGGGAAAATAAACATGTACATATACTGAAATATGAATAAAGAGATTAGGGTATAAATCAGAGAACTCTGAACAATTAACAGCAATTGCTGTGGAGAAAGGTGTGGGCATGGGGCAGAGTTCAGAAGTAAACTTTTTTCCTTTAGAATCTTCAGGCTGCTATGGATTCTTTAAAACACTAACAAAATATGTGTACATACAATGAAAGTGAGCCACAAAAGTAACTGTAGTTCCATGCTCTCGTATACATGATTTCTGAAATTTCCCTCCAATCAAATTCATCATGCCCTGCAGGGAGTAGGAACTTGGGTAGCCATCGCTCAGCCTTTTCTGTGGCCACAATCCCCTTGTCCCTGGTCCTTATCTGCAGTAAGCTACAAGCCTTGGAGCTTAAACTTATGTAAATCTTCCCTGGGAAAATCATTAAACCTTGGGGAACTTTCAAATCTTTGCACAATTACTGTTTTTTTATAGCTGCGTTTAGGGGCACCCACAACCCCAACCACTCTATTTTGCCATTTTGTGTCTCTTTTTATAGTTAATTGGACTTTCAGACTTTGAGAATGAACCTGCTGAAGTCTTGGCTCTTGGGACCTTTTCCTTGGAACCTGGTTTAGCACCAGCCTGTTAACACTCTGGTTGTACCACCCCTCTTCCCAATTGTGGTGTTGGAGAACAGGCCCTGCCTCACTCATGGGGACAGCATTTCCACCTGACACCTTCTCATTTCTGTTTTCCTCACCCAGATCTGCCTTCTGAGATACCCTTCTTTAGGGATGCCAGGAAAAATGGCCACAGGGTCCCGGAAAGCCAGGGTAATGGTGAGTGTTGCCTGCATTTCTACACAGCTGTCGCAGGATGGACACATTACCTTCTTTTGTTCTGTCTCCTTACCTGGCAGAGTCCAACTCTCTAGTTCTGGAACTGTGACTTCATCTTACCTAAAACCTGACCTGTTCAGCCCGTGACTTAGAAATTCACCAAGTTGTTAATTCTGAACAATGTGCAATTCTACAGGACAGGATAGAGTCTACTTTCCTTGGCTCAGCTTCAGTATTTGTGCAGGCATCTAGTGATGTCAAAGAGGATGATGAAGGGAAGCACTGGGAATCTCTCTCTCTCTACCTAGATAATAACTGTACTGGTAGAATCTCTCTAGTATAACTATTTTGGAATTCTGAAGTCTGGCCAAATGCTTGCAGCTTTCAGGGAAAGGCTTAAATCACAGTTTGGACTGTGATTTAGTGTAGTAACAGCACGAAAGTCCCAGACTCTGGTACTAGCACAAAGAGAATTATAGACTAAACAAATATAAAAAAGAGGGCCCAGAAATAAGTAATCATACGTATAGTCTGAATGACTTTCAACAAGAGTACCGAGACCGGCCCCTCCTTGGTGGCACAACAGGTTAAAGCACAGCACTGTGAGTCTATCTGCAGCCACTGCAGAAGAGTTTGATCCCCACCAAGAAGGTGACTCACATGGCACAGGCCTCTCCTGCCCCGCCTGCTGCTCCCCTCAGCAGTGTATTTCGGTAGATCCGCCTTTCACCTCCTTACTCTCTCTGGTGAATCCTTTCACTCTACCATACCGCTGGCCTGTACCCCCATTTTTGTATGTATAAATAAATAAATCTTTCTTTTTTTTTGTATTTTACATCATTGTTCATTTTTAAAAATAGTTTATTTTTCCATCATTTTATGTACTTTTCCATCTCAGCTGTAATCTTCTTTAAAAGAAAAGTACCAAGACCATTGAGTCTATTCAGTGGGTATTGTTGGGAAAATACATGCAAAAGAATGTACATAGACCCTGGCTTATGACCATATGTAGCAATTAACTCAAAGTGGACAAGCTAAAAGATCTATGACTCTTAGGGGAAAAACCATAGTATTTACTCTTAGAAAAAAACATAGGGGAAAACTTCATGAAGTTGGATTTAGTGGTAATTTCTTGGATATTATATCAAAGCTAATGCAGCAAAAGAAACAATAAATGGCACCTCATCAAAATGGAAAACTTTGTGTATCAAAGAGAGTATATTTGTAAGTCTTATCTGATAACTGATTTCCAGAATATGTTAAGAATTTTAACTCAGCAATAGCAGATACCCCCAATTGAAGAATGCACAGAGAATTTGAATAGATATTATTGCAAAGAAGATAATACAAATAGCAAACAAGTACATGAAAAGAACCTAACCATCACTTATCATTAGGAAAATGCAAATTAAAACTGTATGAGAAACTATACACATTAGGATGGCTGTTTTGTCTTTTTTTTTTTTTTTTTAAGGGAGAAAATGTTGCTGAGGATGCAGAGAAATTAGAGCCCCTTTGTATTGCCAGTCAGGATATAAAATGTGCCTCTGTGGAAAATAATCATTTACCTCTGTGGAAAATAATTCAGTGGTTCCTGAAAAAATTAAATGTGGAATACGATGTGATCTGGTGGTCCCAATTCTAGGTGTATCCTGAAGAGAGTCAACAGAGGTTTGTTTAAAAGTGTTAGTTACATTAACTAAAAGGTGGATACAAACCAAGTACTCATCAGTGCATGTGTGGTAAATATATACAGTCAAGTATGTTTTAGCCTTAAAGAAGACATTCTGAGTATATATACAACATGGATGAACCTTGAAGTTGTTCTAAATGAAATTGAGATGAAAGGACAAATATCGTATGATTCCACTTATCTACAACATGGGTTGGCCAAAAATATAGACAGAAAATAAGATGGTGGTTATTAGGGTTTGGAGAGGAGTAAGTTTTTAATGGCTACAGAGTTTCAGATGATTGCAACAATAACATGAGTGATTCTTCTTCGAGAGTGATTCTTACTGCTACTGGGCTGCACACTTGGATAAAAAGATTTAAACTTTGGTGATACATATTTTACCACTAAAAATAAAAGTTCTTCTATAAGTTGCTACTCTCTACCTATTCTGTATCTACCACTAGATGCCTTTTATTTCCCCCAGGTGGTCTTCTAGTCCATATTCTGGGCTTCCTGTCATCTCTGACTCATGGGCCGCTTCCTTACTCCCCACATGTCTTGTCTGGAATAGCTTGCACTGTCTTCCTTTGGCTCCTGCCCTTCATTCAGGACTCAGTTCCTGGTTCTTTCTCACAAAGCCTTTTCTGATGTCTGCTCCATTGTGCCCTCCATTTTTTAATGTTTTTTGGGAGATAAAGAGTGAAACAGCGAGGTGAGATGAATTTGCAAATTGGACAACCAGGAATGTCCACCCTGAGCATCAGTGTGGGGCTGAAAGTGTAATGTTGTCCGTATTTCACAAGTGAGAAAATCAAAGCATTGGCTGATGGTAGAGATGAGCCCTGCCTGATCCAGCAATGTGGTTCAAGTTTGTGCGTTCACTACTCCCTGCTGTGTCTCTTGGGTCTGAGAAGACCAACAGGCTGTGGCATTTAGGGAGAAAACTGAGTTGTACTTTATGTCTTTGTCATTACTGGATTGTATGTACTTAATGATTCTCAGATGCTTCCATACTAATATGATGAGTGTGTTCTTTTATACTTTACTGTTATTATATGTTGCTTGTTGTTCTTTCAACCTACATTTAAAGTTACCTGAACTTTAGGGACTCTGCTTTTTTCATATACCTCGATATGGTCTACCCCAGATTTTAAATGCGTAGAATAATTACAAGAGGTGGCTAAGTAGTGACAGGGCTTTACAAGTCGTAAAACATATGGTATCACCCACAGTCACAGTCAGAGGCTGGTTCTGGATTCTCACCAAGCTTCTCAGGGCAGCCTTTGCCCTGCTCTCACCCTGAGGTGTGGGCCAGGCTGGCTCCTAGGTGACCAGGGCTGTGTTTTATGTTACAGGCACACATGGCATTCAGAGATGTGGCTGTGGATTTCACCCAAGAGGAGTGGGTGCTGCTGAGCCCTGCTCAGAGGTCCCTGTATAAAGAGGTGATGCTGGAGAACTACAGCAACCTGTTGTCACTGGGTAAGCTGGGTATCTCTTGGGACTCGCATTCTTGGTGCTGGATATTTCACTAGGCTACATCTTGCTTTCTGACTCTGTGTGAGTGTGAGAGACAGACAGACAGACAGACAGACAGACAGACAGAGACAGAGAGGGAGAGTGATGGATACGTGCTGCATTTCTAACCTTTTTACCCCCTGGCTGGGGCTCTCCGTAAATGGGATTGGTGTTCAGTTACTCAGCATGGGATAACTTGCTCCCTTACCCATTCTTCCCTTCCACTGCTGAGGCTCATCATTTTCAGGTCTTTCTTACTCCTTTGAATAGTTCCCTACCCAGTTTTGCTTTGAGTTCTGGACTTGAGTCACAGTAACCTACAGTCACCTGGCTTTCTTTTTCCTCTGGGCAGGAATTCCATTTTCTAAACCCCAACTCATTACCCAACTGGAACAAGGGAATGAAACCTGGAGAGAGGAGAGAAAATGCCCACCTGCCACCTGTCCAGGTGAGTGAGGAGCACTATGCAAAAGGCACAGAGCTGTTGGCAGCTTATGAGGTGGAAGAGAGACAGAGAGAAAGAGGAGGCTTTGCTCAGGTGCTAGGGAGCAAAGCCATTCCCTGAGGTCCGCTTCCATCGCCTGGTGTAGTCTCCCTTCTAGACATCAGCCTCTCTCCCATGCAGGGATTTCCTAAAGAGCTCCTGTTTCCTTGCTCCACTAGGATGTTTTCTTCTTCCCATTGAGTTTGCCTCTTATCTCTCTCAGTTCTCTTCCACAGTCACTTTCTTCTTTCTTTTGTTAGCTATTCTTTTTTTTCTTTTGTTAACTATTCTTTTAAAAAATCAAGCAGGAATATGGGGAACAATTGACTAAAGCAAAAAGGCAAGCCAATCAGGAAATTGCAGTGGAGTTTTTAAAAACTGTAAGCTAAGAATTGTTTTGTTACATTTTAAATGGCTATGTAAGTATAAGATATCCTCAATTTTGCCTCTTAGCACCTCAAAGATTAAACTATTTACTCTCTAGCCCTTTACAAAAAGTTTCCTGATCTCTGCTTCAAAAAATTACAACACAGAGAGTTATAACTTATTCTGCTTATTCTAGGTACCACTTAATGTAAAATGTAAGAACACTGATTGCAGTGTCAGTTATCCCATCCCCACATCCTTTACTTTATAGCTGCCATTTTATTACACCCACATGGATTCCATACCCCCTAGTTCAATGTTAAAATATTTGTCTTAAAAACAAATATTTTTAATCAAGAGAAAAAATTTCTATACTCATCCAGATAATTTACTATCTTCTTTTTGTTTTAAACAAACTGGTATACAAGGTTGTCTTTTTTTTTTTTTAAGATTTATTTATTTATGTATACAAAACTGATGTACAGGCCAGAGGTGCAGGAGCAGTGAGAGGATTCACCAGACACAGAGTGGGGAGTAGAACAGGCAGATTGACAAAATGCACTACTGAGGGGAGCAGCAGGTATGTCAGGAGAGGTCTGCCATGCCGTCACCTCCCTGGCCAGGAATTGAACTCATGCTGCAGTGGTCTTGGATAGCTTCATAGTGCTGTGCTTTAACCTGTTGTACCACCAGGAAGGGCTCTCAATGACTTTTCAAACAAGGATCTTAGAAATTGAAGTGCTGCTGTTAAAAGTTGCCAGGAAAATATTCTATTTCTAGAGTTTATTTTGAGTAAAATAATTGTATATTTACATAATTTCCTAAGCTGACTGCAAATTATAATAGCTAGGCACATGTATTTCCCAATCTTAAACATTTCAAATGCATATTAGCTTACCTTATCTCTAAAATCAATATATGAGACTTGGAAGTTTATTTTTTTTAAAGATTTTTTTTGTTTATGCATATAAGAACTAGGGTGTAGGCCAGAGGTGTGGGGGGTGAGAGGCTTCACCAGAGACAGAGTGAGGAGCAGAACAGGCAGATCGACGAAGTACACTGCTGAGGGAAGCAGCGGGTGGGTCAGGAGAGGTCTGCTGGGCCATGTGGGTCAGCTCCCTGGCTGGGGATTGAACTCATGCTGCAGTGGCTGTGCTATGCTTTAGCACATTGCATCACCAGGGAGGGCCCTGGAAGTTTATATTTATTTAAACCTTATTTGAATTTTATATTATTAAGTAATCATGCTATTACAGTTATACTGTGATAGACCCAGAGGTAAAAAAGTCACATGTGTTTTACTCCAGGATTTACCATATTTTGAAACATTGATTCCCTCCTTTTGTACTTATATACTGGCTGTTAAGGTGTTACTTACATAGATTGGAAGTGCTGAATACCTCACATTCTTCCTTATAGCAATATGTAATAGCCAAGTTCCTCTAGCTTAACTAACAGCTAAACTTTTTCTTTAGAACTAAAGCTCCAGCTTTAGCAGGAAAGATTTCCTTCAGAAGCCAGCACATTAAAATCACTGGGAGTACTATTTTCATTTTATTTTAGATATTCTTGCGTTTTTAAATTTTGAATTTATATCAGTGTTCATTAGTCTTTATCAAGCCATTAGTACTGGAACACCTGTAGCATTAAAATATTTTAGAAACTATTTATTTAGTAAAAATTGTGTTAAATCTGCCTTCCGAATAAATACACCTAGAAATACACATCAGGCATATTTTATGACGAACTGAAAAGACTGACAATGGAGAACTGAAATTTTGTGTTTCTTCTGTCACTCCAAGTAAATGTTAAGACTCTACTGAAATTAAAATTTCTCTGAAGGAGCCACAGTTTAGTGTAAACAGAAGGGTGCCACTTTAAATGTAGGCACAGAAATAGGGGCTGTAGTAAGTATACATGTCAGAGGCTTTGCTTCCCATAACTACATCAAAATGACATCATGCTTGACAGAATAGAACTGCATTACCTTTATGACAGAACAGACTTGCATTACCTTGATTACTGAAAGACCTACTGTGATGTGAGTAGGCCACACAGACCACAGCCTCTGTGACCTAATGTGTCTGAGAGGAAGATGGCAGCATTCATTCTTTTCTCCCATCATAACCCAGAAAAAGAAAATGTCAACAGACTAAACCAAAAAACTTGTCCAGAATCCAGAGTTACTGTCTTTGAAATAGAAAGAGAAATAGGAAATTATTAGTTGTGGAAACTCAAACAACCTAGTTTAAACAAATAAATGAGAATTTAGTAAAAACTGTCTCAGAGACCACAAAGGCCTCGGAGAAAGCATGCCTTCTTGGTGTGGATTTCCAAAGACTGAGACTGGGGATAGATAAGAACAAAATCAGTGGATTCCTAGATCCTCACCAACGAGTAAGAAACCACAGTTTCTGCATTGAAAGGAATTGAGCTTATTATTATTATTATTTAAATATTTATTTATTCATACAGAACTGGGGTAAAGACCAGAGGTGCAGGGGTGGTGAGAGGCTTCACCAGAGACAGAGTGGGGAGCAGAACAGGCCGACTGAAGAAGTACACTGCTGAGGGGAGCAGCGGGGAGAGGCCTTCTACACCCTGTGGATCACCTCTGGGGCGGGGGATCACACTTGCAAGTGGCTGCAGTTTGCTTGCATTGCTGCACTTTAACCTGCTGCACCACCAGGGAGGCCCAGAATTGAGCTTATTTACTGGCCAGGCAGTGAACCACAACAGGGAAGTAATTCACTTAGTAGTTTGCTGAGAACAAAAAGTCAGGGATTTATAAGTGTGAGGAAAGGGTGATTATGCTAATTACAATTAGGATTTAAAAAATTAACATCCCACATAGGATGGAGTAATTCTGGAATGTTAATGTTGGGTTTTTAAAAGTTCAGACAAGAAACAATGTTATGAAGATCCAGTAAGATCTGTACCTGGTTTGTCAAATTACATAGTTATTTATTGCCTTCAGATGACTAGAACCGGTTGTGACTGGAGTAGTATATTTGATTTTGACAACCCCTACACAAGAGGTACTATAATAATTCTTTTCTTTTACACTGATTTATATACATTAATTATGGAAATTAACAGCTTGGATTAGTTGGGGGGCACCTGTTAGGCCTTCGCAGTCATTGGGTTTCCTAGATTGAGTTGTGTTGTCCATTGACGAAAGCCTATTGCCTTGAAGAAATTCTGGCACAATGTAGAAAGTGGGGAAACCAATTTAGGTTTCTCACACATGATCTCTCAATCTCAACTCTTTTACACTTTTTCCTACACTAACGCTTTTCCAGTTTGAATAACTGCTCTTTCCATCTATTCCTTTGTCCTCATAGGAAAACAGAGGAAGCCATAAAGACATTTTCCACATGATTATCTCACAAAGAAAATATTCATGGACATGGTTTATATCAGTGAGTGGTTGTGGGTTCAAAGGCAGTTATAGGGATGGGTGGAGAAAGACTGCTGGAAGGTCTGTTTATAGAACAGAAACTGCCTGTGGTACTTAATAGTCTGACCATTGAAACGGCCTAGGCGTGGGTCTTCTGGGTTGTAATAGAAGATATGGTAGACTGGAAAAGTAGATCCTATAAAGGAAGCCTTGATTGCCTGAGTCTTAAGGATTTTTAAGGGAATCCAGTCTTACCAGTAGACGAGGCAGAATTGTTCAGATTGCTACTGAGTCTCAGTTCTGACTTACACTTTTCTCTCTGCAGCAGAACCAAAGCCAGAACTCCACCTCTGTCCTTTCTGCCCTCCAGATTTCTCCAGTCAGAAGTTCAACATGCAGCATGTGCTTTGCAGCCACCCGCCCTGGTTCTTCACGTGTTTCTGCGCAGACAGTCATGTCCAGACAGGGGGTTCATGCCCAGGAGACCAGAAGCAGCAGCCATGTGTTTCTGATCAGAGTTCCTGGAGTGATAAGGCAGAGGGTGAAGAGAGAGAAGGTGCCATGCTTTTGTTTGAAAAGGCAAAGAAAAGGACTTTAGGAGCATTCTCCAGGCCACCCCAAAGGCAACCCATTAGCGCCAGGAATGGCATTGGAGGGGTGGAAATAGAGACAAGTGCAACTCAGACAGGGAACCCTGAGGACACGGACAAACTGCTTAAAAGGATAGAAGTCTTGGGATTTGGAACAGTCAATTGTGGAGAGTGTGGACTAGGCTTCAGCAAGATGACAAACTTGCTTAGTCACCAAAGGATACACTCTGGGGAGAAGCCTTACGTGTGTGGGGTATGCGAGAAGGGATTTAGTCTAAAGAAAAGCCTTGCCAGGCACCAGAAGGCACACTCGGGGGAGAAGCCTATTGTTTGCAGCGAGTGTGGACGAGGATTTAACCGGAAGTCAACCCTCATTATACACGAAAGGACACACTCAGGTGAAAAGCCCTATATGTGTAATGAGTGTGGACGAGGTTTTAGTCAGAAGTCAAACCTCATCATACACCAGAGGACACACTCAGGAGAGAAGCCCTATGTGTGCCGGGAGTGTGGGAAAGGCTTTAGCCAGAAGTCAGCTGTCGTTAGACACCAGAGGACGCACTTGGAGGAGAAGACCATCGTGTGCAATGATTGTGGACTAGGTTTCAGTGACCGGTCAAACCTCATCTCACACCAGAGGACACACTCTGGAGAGAAGCCTTATGCCTGCAAGGAGTGTGGACGATGCTTTAGGCAGAGGACAACACTTGTCAATCACCAGAGAACACACTCAAAGGAGAAACCTTACGTGTGTGGAGTATGTGGGCACAGCTTTAGCCAGAATTCAACCCTCATCTCACACAGGCGAACACACACTGGGGAGAAGCCTTATGTGTGTGGGGTGTGTGGGCGAGGCTTCAGCCTGAAGTCACACCTCAACAGACACCAGAACATACACTCAGGGGATAAGCCTATTGTGTGCAAGGACTGTGGGAGAGGCTTCAGCCAGCAATCAAATCTTATTAGACACCAGAGGACACACTCAGGGGAAAAGCCCATGGTATGTGAGGAGTGCGGGCGAGGTTTCAGCCAAAAGTCAAACCTCATTGCACACCAGAGGACACACTCAGGGGAAAAGCCGTATGTGTGCCGGGAATGTGGGCGAGGCTTCAGTCACCAGGCAGGGCTCATCAGGCACAAGAGGAAACACTTGAAGGAGAAGCCTTACATGTGCAAACAGTGTGGACTAGGCTTTAGCAATAAATCAGCTTTAATCACGCATAAACGGGTACACTCAGAAGTGAAGCCTTGTGTATGCAGAGAGTGTGGCCAAGGCTTTATCCAAAAGTCACACCTTGTCTTACATCAGATGACACACCAAGGGGAGAAAACTTATGTGTGCAAGACATGTGGGCAAGGCTTCAGCCAGAAGTCTCACCTCATCAGACACAGGAAGATGAAATCTGTTCATCACAGATCACCACTGCAACTAGACTCTGAGGCCTATTCAGAGCAGTCTTCTGACCCGTTACACTCTCTTTGAAAGTGAAGCTGGTCAAAAGGACTAAATTATCAGAATTTTTACATTTTCATAAAATGGAGTAAAAAGAAAAAGCATTCCATAAGGGGTCAAAGAACATTTGACTTGGTTTACTTTCTCCAGACTAAGTCTTCTCCATCTTTTGTGGCCTTTTGTTCTAATAAACTTTGCTTCTTTATAAATCTGTAAATTTGGCTGTGTATCTCATTCACTCATGTATCATTAGAAGGAAAGACGTGATACTGTTCTCTTGAATGCAAATCCATCATTGCATAAAAACTCAATTCCTTAGAAGACAGAACTGAATTACTTGTATATTTATTAGAAAGTCCACTTCTTTCTTTATGCACAAATTCTAGGAATTGTATTCAGGGATTTCAGGTAATGGTCTGCAACAGCAGAAGGCAAGAAGCAAGAGGCAGGGGAGTGTTGAGGAGAGACTCACTGGCCACTTCTTTCTCCCTTTCCAGTACTGCCCCAGAACCAGCTCTGCTCTTCTGAGCTCCCTCCTCCTTTCTTGACAAAAATCACCAGCTGCTTGTGGCATCTGGATTATAGGGTAAAAGAGTTAAACTGAGGCTTTTTACACCCTCTCACCATTAGCACCTGTGGTCTGACACAAGCACCGCTAATTGCTAATTATGGACGGCTGGGCCCAGAGAGCACAGGGCATGCACATATGTAAATGGAGACACCTGTGGTGAGGGTATATCAGGGTGGTGTCTCTCAGGCAGGACAGGGAAAGGAGACAGCCAGAAAATAGTGAGAAAACTATTCAGCATTAGAGACTATAAAAATCTACTGAAGACTCCAAAATTATATTTTCATCTGCAAGAACTGAAGATGAACCTATCCAGCCTAGGATGATTGCAAAACATGGTTTCTCCCTTCAAGGACAGAGGGCAGTCCAGCAGTTCATTGTATAATTACAGTCTGAAAATACCTGTGTCAGTCTAACATTTCAGGATCAAATGGAGAAGGAATTCACAGATAAAGAACCCTTTTTGTCCATGCCTTTGATGTAAATTTTCTGAAGCTATTATGAATGTATCTGAGTGACTGGAATGTTAGCAGAAACTAGGAGACTCCACTTAATTTTGGGAACTACAGAGACCGAAGTCTGAGGCACTTAAAAACAGGCAAGGGGAAAAGATATCTGGGGTGAGTTCTTGGTATTCCCTGAAGAAGAAAATTGAAGAAAAACAAATGTGATGTGTGGGACATCATCCAATAGGAGAAACTTACCTTCGTGGCCCCATATCCAGGGCAACTGAAGCCAGGGTCCTGGCTCGCAGTTATCGTAGTCTCTGTTACTATCCTCACTGCATGTAAATCAGAATGTGGGGATGGCTTAGCTACAGTGTCAGTTACTATCCTCAGAATTTGGAGATATCTGAGCTACAGTGTTACATAAAACAGGAGCTTCTGGCACCCTGTGAACAGCGATGACAATGAGTCACCCGGAAACCAACTACAGAGAACACAATTTTAGTAGAATTAATCTAAATTATGAAGGACTTAAAGGGTAAGTTTTGTTTTCTGCCCAATATCTTTATCATTTTGACAATTCAAACATTTTCAGAAAAAAAAACTTGTACTTTCTTTATCTTTATCATTTTGACAATTCAAACATTTTCAGAGAAAAAACATGTATTTTCAGAGAAAACGTCTAACTTGGCCCTGGCCGCTTTTTTCCTTGTAACTAGCAAAAGGTCAAGATTCCTGTTCTCCACTTAACTAGTAACCATGCACAACCTGAAAACCTCAAGAAAATGACCTCAAAAAAATTTAATGTGTATTTTACTCAATGGATACACTTTAAAAATGTATTATTTTGAAAAGTGAATGTGTGAGATAAACAGTGAGGAGCAACCTCCACGTCAGTGAGTGGAGCTCACAACCAACCCAAAAGTAGAAGGTGGAGCTTCCCTGGGGGCTGTTGGGAAAAGGGGTCAGAGCTGAGGACAGTGGCAATAAAGGTGCTGGAGCTTTTTGGTAAGATGCTGGTGAGGCAATGTGCCTGTGGAGAAGCAACCAGCCTGCCAAGTATTGCTTTAGATTTCATCTCTGCTGAGGGACGCTCTCTAGGGTAGAACAGACAGCATCTGGCCACGTGACAGCCTATAGATTCACTCTCTCCCTCTATTGCTATTTCTCTTCCTGAACCTGCTTTTGGGTCCTGTCCTGCATTTTTAAGTGTGCAAGTGAGGACCCCCCCAAGCAGGTCAACCTGGTCTGGTTCTGGAGTAGAGGGAAGATGGGCCAGGGTGAAGGTGGGTCAGCCCTCTGAGGAGCTGATCTTCTGGCTAGTGAAGGGAAAGCACTGACACTTTGTAAGCAGTCATTGTCATGGTCACCTGTGTGGGCCACTCTGGTAGTCCTGAGAGGACAGGGTTGAGCAGTATAAAAGTCCAGGGCAGGGAGAACTGTAAGGTTGAGATTTTATTAAACCTTTGAGAAAAGACCTTGGCTAAGTCAGTGGTTGGAAGAAAAACTGAGGAAATTAATCTAGGGACAACCTAGGAGACACAACCCACAGAGTGGCTATAGGACAGGTTAGGAGGGAGAATTTTCCCTACATAATTCTTCACATCTTTTAGTTTTGAACCATGTGTGATCATTATCTATTGAAAAATAAATAAAACATTATAAAGAAAATTCTTTTAAAGAGTAGCAAAAACATTAAAGAGCACATGTTAATTTCATCACCATACAGGACATACTGGAAATCCCCAGGTGAAATCAGTGGCTTACACTCTCAAAGAACTTTTTTAAAGGTTTATTTTTATTTACTTATGCACACAAGAACTGGGGTGTAGGCGAGAGATGTCAGGGGTGACAGGATTCACCACAGAGAGTGGGGAGCAGAACAGGCATATCTACTGAAATACACTGTTAAGAGGAACAGAGGGTGAGACAAGAGAGATCTGCTGCGCCATGTGGGTGAGCTCCCTGGCTGGAGATGGAACTCAGGCCACAGTGGCTGGTGATAGCTTGATAGTGCTGAGACTTTAATCCTTGTGCCACCAGGAAGGTCCATTCTCAGAGAATTTTAAAAATCTTATGTCAACCTCAATTTCCAAGCTTGTCTTAAAGACACTTTTCAAGAAAGAAATGAACAAGGAATGGGCAGAGCCTGACGGTTCCTTAAAATGAAGCCCCTTGGAAGCCCTCAGATCTAACAGTCATCCAAGCCCAACTTGGCAGCAAAAAGCGAGGTGATAAGGTCATCTCCGATGTTCAGAGCCAGGTCGTATGCTGTCTCACCTCTTGTGTTCTTCTTTTGGATGCTTGCATTGCACCTGCAAAGGAAACAGAGTGAACTCAAGACTCTGGCACTTTAACTTGAGGGCCTGGCTATTTCCTACCATGAAAACCAGTCTAGGAGCTTCCAGCCCCATTTCTCAAACCTGCCCTCAGGGGCTACCATGCCCCCAGGTCTCAAGAGTGGTTTTTCCCTGAGACCTTTTGACAGGCTGTGATTTCAGGTGTCCGATGGCCAATCCTGACCACTGGTTCCCATTGCAGCAAAGTCCCACAACCCAAGTGTGGTAAATGGAGCCAATGTTTTCATTGGGCTTTTAAAAACATTAAGGTCCGAGAAGCCATGGGTGGCTGGTGGATTAAAGTTTTCAGGAACCAGGTCCCTCTGAAATCAAAACAGGTCAGCAGGGGATCATTGTGATCCTCAGAAGTGTGGCCCAGCGGCTAGGGAACTTACCTCAGTAAAGCAGCAATGCACTCCCTTCCAGCCAGGCCAAGCAGAGTTGCTTCATGAAGAGCTGTATTTTGGAGCCTGTTAGGGGAAAAAATCATCTTGGATAAAATCTTAGCATCATCAAGATATTGGAGGGGGACAATGACCAAAGGGGCCTTAATTATGTCTGCTGCCCTATTTACTAATCCAGAAAAATCTTCGTCTCTCCTCCCTTGGAGGATTACTGTGATGTTGGTAAGCTTGATAATCAGTAGAAAGTGAAAAGTCTATATATACTCATTTTCGAAAGTGAGAAACCTCACAAAGACCTGGTCTGTAGTTGATTTAATAAATGTTAAATACCATTTTAGCAAATTTCCTGCCAGATTTTATGGAACATATGGAACATAGTCTCCACCTTGGCTTGGACCCATTGGGACACTCTCTATAGGATAATAATGATGGGGTGCCAAGATTCCTATTCTTGCTTAGGGAGTATATCCTTAATTTCCGTGAGTTTGGTTTGGCTAATAGAAAATAAATACCAATCTTTAAACCCAGAAGGCAAGTCTAAGCAGTCAGAGCATATTTTGCTGGATTCCAGACTGTCTTTACACTTGATCAATTTGATTTGACCCGGTGAAGGAGGTGTGGATGGCTACAATGGAGAATAGGTGGCATCTGCATTTTAGAACTCATGACTTATTGCTAACCATATGTGGCAGGAGTGATGGAAGGTGGGAGTCACAACTGGAGACAGAAATGTGATAAGCAATTAAAGGTCTGCATTCTCCCAGGCCCTGCTTCTCCCCTTCAAACCTCTGCATATGTACCTAGAGCCAAAAATGTGTCCAAATGAAGAAATATGGTGTGCTCTTCCCTGAAGGCCATAAATGGAGTCTCTGGTAAGAAGTAGTGCATTCATTGTCATGAGCAGAGGGAAGTCTTACACTCTATGACCTTCTGAGAGCAGCTTCATCTACACACAAAGCTCCTCAGTTGACAAACTCCACTTAGGTACACAGAAATTACCCTCATCTAGCCCATTTCAAACATGGATGGGCAAGTAAAGGTCACAGACATCTGAAAAAAACCTGCTGCATCTACTTGGATGGAGCTGGAAAAGATCATGTTTAGTGAGATAAGCCAGAAAGAGAAAGAAAAATACCAGATGGTTTCACTCATAGCAGGAGTATAATGGACCAGGCGAGAAAATAACAAAAATAATGAACAACCATATACCAGAGACATTTTGTGGGGGTGGAGTGGGGAATGGGATCAAAAACGGGGGGGGGGAGGAGAGAAATGCACGGGATTATGGTGATGGCACATGGGTGATTTGGTGATGGGAAACCCATGGGGATTACAATCGAGATGGAAAAAAAAATGTACAAAATGATGTAAAAATAAACTTTTGTAATAATAATAAAAAAAACCCCTGCTGCATCTAAGAGCTAAATTAAGACACCTGAACATAAGAGATTTAAAGCAAGACAAAATCATAATTGGTATCCTCAGAATGACTAAAGGCAATATTAGGCAAAAATATGAGGCTATGAAGAACAATCAGAACAAAAAGCAGCTCTTAATTAAAATATATTTGTTGAAATAAAAAGTATTCATAGGAGAGTTAAGAAAATCTAAAACAACAAGAAAAAGGGAGATGAAAAATATGGGGGAAAAAAAGTCATAAAAATCAAGTCAAGAGGCCCATTATGCAACTATTAGGAATTCTGGAAAGAGGCTTAAAAAAAAAAGGAGAGGAGAAAATGCCAGAGATACTAGAATAAATTTTCCTTAAGCTAAAGAAAAATATGACTTTTCAGACTGAAAAGGCCACATAGGTGAATGAAAAACAGCACATCGAAAACACTCTTGTGAAATTTCAGAACATCAGGATAAATGCTTCCAGAAAGAACAAACAACTATGTCATAAATGAACAAGACTGTGGTATAGAATTTTCATGGGCTTTGTGAGATATTAGAAATGAAGAAAGCAAAACTTTCTAAGACTCGAAGAAGTATTTTGAACACAGAAATTAATATGGAAGTATTATCAAGAGTAAAGACAGGTCCTCCCAAGTGGTCAACAGGTTAGGATGCAGCAATGCAAGCTGGCCACAACCACCTCAGTGCAAGTTCAGTCCCTGCCCCAGAGGTGAACACATAGCACAGCAGAACTCTCCTGTACTTCGTCAATCTGCCTGTTCTGCTCCCCAGAATCACTAAAGTGATTTTTAGATGTTTAAGGACTCAAAAGTTCTTTTCTACACACCCTTTCTGAAGAAGTTATCTAAGGTCACACTCTAGCTCAACCAAGAGTCAAAACGAAGAGGAAAATGTGAGCAAAAACTACAGGTGGATTCCAACCCAAGAAATTCCACAAAAGCCACTGTGCACAGGGCTGGGAAGCTGTCTGGCAAAATTAAGCAGGAAGTACCTTCCAAGAAGAGTGTCTGTAAGTGGAATGCCATGGAAACCCAATAGGCTTATGGATGTGAGGGATCATGCTGTACACACTAGAAAAAACAAAGGAAGAAGTTACAGGAAAGGGGACAAAGGAATAAGTTACAGGAAAGGGGCCTTCCTGGTGGCCTGTGGGTTAAGTCTCAGCACTGTCACCTCTGCACCCTAAGTTCCATTCCTGGCCAGGGAGCTGACCCACAGAGGGCACAGCAGACCTCTCCTGTCTCCTTGCTGCTCCCTTTATCCTATTCTGCTCCCCATTCCGTTTCTGGTGAATCCTCTCACACTCACCCCACTTCTGACCTACACTTCAGTTCTTCTACACATAAAAGGAAAATTACAAGTAATATATTAAAACATGTTATGACTGTATAAGTTATTTATGGCTTAGGAAAGAAAGTGAAATGTGACATGATTTTGAATAATTTATATATTGTGTGAGGAAAATCTTTTTGCATTTCTGGTAAGAAAACTCTACTTCGAGGGTCCTATGTAGTCACAGCCTTGTAAAAAAGTGAACCTGTAGTAAAAGAAGTTGTAAGATGAAAGGGGAAGGAGATGTAGAGGTAAAGGCAGAGAGCACTATCATGAATTTTATCCACTTACAACAAGGCAGCCAAAAGAATTCACTTAAAAGTGCGATGGTCAAAATATAAAAGTTTGATGTAGTTTTTTATATTTATCACAGTAAGTAATGAAAGAATGAACAGAGGTAATAGAATTATCAAAACTTCAAGGTGAAGATGGGGTTGGTGAGCCAAATCTATCATGGCAAGAATCAATAGCATGTCTAAGCCTGCTAAATCAGAAATTACCAGTTTAAGTGTATTATTTATGGTGGAGATACCACTGAATCTCAGGAGAGCTTCAAAATATTTAAATGTAGTTGTCCTTAGGGACAAGAACTAGGGATGAAGAAATGAGGGTAGAGAACTGCCAAGCTTCTCCACTGGATTTTATTTTTAAATCATATACACAACTTACTTTGATGAAGTTAAAAAGTTTTTTGGTGTATATGAATTGTTTTCTATAAATGTACACAGTTAAATATATTTCCTCCTGGATTAATCATAAATCATACAATTTCCCTTTGGACCAAAAATTATGAAGCTGGTAAATAAACCTCCCCAATACTGCTCTGTACCTAAAGCAAGTCTATTCTAGACTAATTCTGTGAATTTCTGGTTGTGGGTAGTCAGCAGGTTGGCAAGGAAGCTTTCCTAAATACACACTGCTTTAGCCTACCTGGTTCCATTTTCATGGAGCACTTACCATTCTCTGAAACTACTTATCATTTGCTTACTTGTTTATTGTCTGTCTCCTCCACTAAACTGTAAGCTCCATGAAGGAAGGGACTTTGTCTTCATCACTGCTTATCTCCATCACCTAGAATGGTGACTGGTACACAGTAGGTACTCAATAACCACTAGCAAAATGAATACATCAATGGAAAGAATAAACAATCAACTTAAGGGAAGGGATGTTCCCTCTAAGACGGAAACATATGGGCCTCCCTGGTGGCATAAGGGGCTAAGTCTCAGACTATAAAGCTATTTGGCAGCCACTGCAGCACAAGTTCAATTCCCGGCCAGTTTGCTGACTCACATGGCCTCACAGACCTCTCCTGTCTTGCTCACTACCTCGCCCAGCAGTGTATTTCCGTCAATCTGCCTGTTCTGCTCCCTACTCTATATCTGGTGAATCCTCTCACCGCCCCTGCACCTCTGGCCTCCACCCCAGATCTTGTATGCATAAATAAAATAAATTTTTAAAAGATTAAAACCTATGTGAGATGCAAGAATTTCAGGTTAATGTGACCACGAGCCTCTCCCATCCAACTGTGGAAGGTAATTCTCTGCCTGATCTAGGACCTAGAATCTGAACTGTGGTTAAGGAGATGGCTTTCCATTTCCCAAAGTAAATGAAAAGCTTAGTACTTTCCCTGATTATCACTGCAATAGATTACTATCAAATTATCATGGTTTTGTTAAGGGGAAAGATGTCCTAAAAGAACTCTGCAGAGTTTTGTGGACTCCACTCCCTACTCCAGCTTTCTGGATTCCATCCCCTACACCAATGATTGGAAACTCCAACTCCCACAGCACCAGGGAGAGAACTGTGAGGACCCAAGGGCAGAACTAAGCAAAGATTCTGGAACTTTGGGGGATAAATAGGGAGCCATTTTATCCAATGGTCTCTCTTGCTCTGGAAATGACTCTCAGGACCACAGTGACTAGGGGCTTTCAGTTAGTTTGTTACCAGAGCGAAAAGTCAGCCGAGCAGTGAGATATTCTAGTTACCTTGTATCTCTCTCTCTTTACCTGGGTTGTTTCCTTTTCCTTTCCCCTTTTTTAAATAAACCCATTATTGACCCTTTTGTGTGTGCCTGCAGTACAACTGAATTTTTAGCACATGGGTGAGGCCCCACAGACGGGTAGCCCAGTTCACACTGTAACAGTTTCAGAGCTGGTATAATAATTTCCACTATTTAAATAACTTATCTGACCAAGACTCTTAGTGCCAAGCAAATTTGAGTATTGTGATAAGTTAGTTATACCTCTTATTTCTTCAGAAGCAGTAGGCGAAATTCCAAATCTTTGAGTTTTTATGACAATTTCCAAAGATCTGCTCATTGATTCTATACAGAAGTTCCTCCAAGCAACTAAGATTTGGGAAGCTCAGGCTTCCTATTGCTGTTGGTGTTGATATTATTATTATTTTTAGCAGATCAATGTAACTGTCAGTATGAGAAATCTCTTGTCCAATAGCATTGTGAGGCAGTCCATATTTGACAGCCTCCTAAAACTCAATGTATAAGAAGTACAGTCTGTACATCCTTGCTACTCAAACTGTGATACCTGGACCATTAGCATTTCCTGAGAGTTTGTTAGAAATGGAGAAAGTCGATTTATATGGATGTAAAAGTATGAGAAGCACTTATAATAACAATATGCAAGCCTTTTCTTTCATATGAAAGCTCAGGCTTAGGAAGATTTGGCAACTTTTATTAATAATACTAGAATCTGGATGCTAAATTAATTCCTGAGAGCTTTCACCCTGACTTTTTTTATTATAAGTTTATTTTTACATCATTTTGTGCCTTTTCACCCTGACTTTTGTTATTAAAGAATCCACACATAGCTATTCTCTCAGTCCCAACTTGTGCTCAGCCCTATATCTTATCACAATTATGGCACAGTGGATACTTCATTCAAAGTCTCCTAATCCATCTTTTTCCTATAGCATGACAGACTATTCATTAGTCATTTATTAAAATCCAGTTATCAGACCCTTCGTGGGCATGCCCTCATTTCATCTTTCAACCAACTCTGTGACATAAGGCCTGACAAGAACACTATGTTCACTTTCCCCACATTTTGCTCTTCCCAGACCCAAAACTACCCTTTGTTACCACTAGTCTATTTTCCTCCTCTTTTGCAAATTTCCACATGCTTACATTTCTTGTGAGGTCTTTCATTGATCTCTGCCTGGCTCTCAGACACTCTGATTATTTGTTCATTTACTCAGCCTCTGGGCGTGGGTCAAGGACATTAGGCTGGTGTGACTCAGTGCTCATCCTTTCTCCAGGAACTCAGAGGATGTAGCAGGGTATACAGCCTGCTATGGAGTACTGACAAAGGCTGTTTCTGTCTCACCAACTACACCAGTGTCCTCTTCATCTTCCATGCAGTTTAATTGGTTGACACTGCACCCTTCAAGTTCTATGGGTCTTCATAAGGCATTTGAATTTAAATATAGTCATGGAGTTGCTGTATCTCCTAGGTAAATTTATAATCTTTCTTCCCAAAAACTGAAAGCAGAGTGAATGTTTTATTTACTTAGTAGGGGGTAAGGGGTAGGGATGGCTAGATTTTCAGTTCTATTTCCTGTGTAACTTTGGCTGTTTAGAAAAACCTAAGTTATGTCTCTACCAACTTTAACTTTGTGCCTCAAGCAACTTAATTCCAATACAGCAAGGGCACTAGATGAAATACATCTTCTTATCAGAATTCCATGCTTCTGAGTAGAAATGATACCCTGTGAGTCTGTTCCTCTGAATAGCTGCATATTATCTCATCAGACTTTCTAGAACATAGCTTGTATAGCAGGCATACTGTGATACCTGTGGATTTGTATTTTAAAGATATTTAAGCATAAACAACTCAAACTGTTTAGTCTAGATATCCTGGTGGATTAGGGTAAACACTCTCTTTATAAACCTTGAATTATCTCCTCTGTTAAATCTCTGGTAAGAAGCAGACTAATAGTTGTTTTCTCCTTACCTGGCCGCTTGAGCAAAGTTCAGAGACTGAATGTTTGAAACTTCCAGTGAAGAAGGATAGCGATTGTCCAAAAGCAAACAGTACTTTTCTGTGTCCCTCTCTGAGTGAGTCTTTGAATCTGTTTCTGAAATCTACTGGGAAAAGATAGCAGCTTTGATAGAGGAGATCTATTTTTCCATTGCCAGTCACTTTCAGAGTAAGTTCATTCTGGTAGGAAAGGCACAAACATGGGAACTAGAAACACTAGGGCTTTTCAGCTACTGGCCATGCTACATGACATAAAATACCTAGCTGCTTCTCTCTGTAAGCCAAATATGCCTGGGGAGAGAGCATTTTAATCTCTGTTTGCTAAGGATAATTCACTGAGTCTTTTACAGCAAAGCCAGAGCTCAGAATGGCTTATGCCTAAAGGGCAATCAGGTGGTTGAACTCTTGAGGTCGTGCTCCTGGATGAACAGAGGCCCCACAGATGGGGGCAGAGGACAGTTCGATCCAGGCCTACATACTTCAGGCTAACAAATGTAAACCAGACTGAATAGAGTATGGCTTTCAGTGGAAAAATACACTTTCCTCTACTGGTAAAAACTCAAAAGGGAGAAGGGGTCTCTGTTCTACTTAAGGGATGTTTTCCTTCCCTCACCTAACACATAACAGTGTTAATTTAGCAGCAATACAAGAATACCACAGGGAGAAATGTCGACTACTAAAATGGTGATGAAGCAAACTTGGAAAAGGAGGCGCGTCAAGAGGGGAACAAGCAATCTGTTCTAGGTCCAGGGTGGTTTCATTCTGACTGCTGAACTTCTCATAAAGCTAGAACACATTATATTGAAGCTTCAATTCAAAATACGTCTATAGATTTTTATAACAATCAAAAATTAGATATTTCAAATTCTATAAGAAATGCTTGTGTGAATTATAAAGGATACCTTAACACAAAACAAGGTAGTATCACTTTATTAATAATGATAAAACAAATGTGGGATAAATGAAGAAGTTGATACAGTATAATGAATTTATGTGAACCCTAAGAAAATTTGAGAAAGTAAATCCCAGCCTTTAAATATGTATAGCAAATGCCAAACATCCTACTATAAAATGAGATGAAAAAAGGGGTTCTATCTACTGACATAGCTGTCCTTTGGGCAGTTACTTACAAAAATGCATACAGAAAAATTAACAGGGATATATTTTGAACAAAAATAGGAGCAAAGCCATTGAATTTGGAGCCCCTGTGCTGGTTAACATCCTCGGCAGCAGTATTCCCCGACCCAGACCTAGGGTGATTCGAGAGGTGGTAGTTGGACCTGGGGACTCCAGCCCATTGCTCTGGGGACTCCTCGTTCAGTCACTTAGCCAGCAGGATACAAAGCTGACACCCAGGACCCAGACTCTAAGAACTTTCCACTCTAGCTTCGCAAGCTAATTTGCAAGAAAACAGCAGAATCATGAGGCTTAGAGAGTTTCTGAGGCAGGACAGCACAAAAGAAGCAGAGCAACAAAACCATCCACATGACCTGGCATTCCTCCATCCTGTTTCACAACTGGGGACCCCAAGGCACCAGAAGATTGTGTGGTGAGCTCAAATGCTCTAGCCTTGTCCCCAGTGGTGTTAGCAGCTGGACATATAGGAAGTTTTCTTTCTGCATTGACTTTGTGGATATATTTCCATGGGGAATACACTGGGGCCACTCTCACTGATCTTAGTTCAGATCATGATGAAGATATTGCTTAATACCATAAAGGCTAAGAATTTGCTGGTCCCGCAACAATATAAGTGCTTGAGTTAACTGCAGCATCATTTACAAAAGCTATTAAAAACTGGGTATTCCAGTAATCCACTTTTAAAATATTAATTTACCTTACCAGATTTGAAAAATGGAAGCCATTAAGTTTCTTAGGGGAAAAATGGGTTAACGTGGTTCTTGAGTGGTTCAAATTGAAACGGGCAGGCATGTACATGGACTCTGCCACAGCTGTGTCCCATTTGGTACTAGTTGATTGTGACCAGGTGCCAGAACTTTCCTTTCATTGTGCTTCACTTACGGTCCCCACTGCTGGTCTATGTCTGCTCCTCTCTGCACAAGAACCGGGATGGCATCGTGGTGCTTATTCACAACAGCAACGGCTATAACAGGTCGATCTTCACTATCACTGCAGCAGGGATCTGCACCCTGAAGGATATGGAGAAGGGTGAACTTATCACAAAATACTGCACTCTAAAGTATTCTACTGCCATTCTATTAAATGTAACAACCCATTCTATTAAATGTCCCTTGAGGGGACTAAACTGCTTTAAATAACAAGAAAATCAACAATACCAAGACCCAACCTACAAGTGTCAGTAGCTGCCAAGAGACTCGGGCAATAAAACTTCTGTCTCCACACTAGGAGGGCAGGCCCCCAGATCAACCTGCTTCTCTAGGAAACACGAGGTCACTAGCCTGGGATTCTGTCTACCATCAGGCCGTCATTTGGGCTCAGACCTGAAATTCCTCCTATTCTCTTTGCTGTAAAATCTAGCAACTGGTGGTAATGTGAAGCTTTTGACTAGTCAGTTAATCTATTTCCAGATATTTTTTAATTATTTATTTACTTATGCATACAAAATTGGGGTATGGGCCAGAGGTGCAAGAGTGGTGAGAAGATTCACCAGCGGCAGATGGGGAGCAGAATAGGCAGATCCACGAAGTACACTGCTGAGGGGAATAGCGGGTGAGGCAAGAGAGGTCTGCTGACCCATGTGGGTCACCTCCCGGGCTGGGGATGGAACTCATGCTGAAGCTATTGCGGCTAGCTTTGTAGTGCTGTATTTCAACTTGCTGTGCTACCTGGGAGGGCCCTATTTCCAGTTTTTAATTATCACAGTATTGAGCCAATTTTCCACCTGAAAAAAGATACAGGTGGAAGGCTTAGCTGAAAATCCTAGAAATGCTGCTTCTTTTGATCATACTTACTTCATCAAGCAACTGTTCAATCACAGAGACTCTTCCTTCCCCTGTTGGTCCAACTTCCTTCAGCAGAAGTCTATTTTCAGGCTGCAGGATTACAGAATGTGGTCATACCCATCATCACAAAATATTCTTTACTGTTAACTCTTCCTTCCAGATTCAGCCCTCCAGGCAAATGTTTCCTCACCACAGTTAAGGTCTAAACCAAAGGGCTCAGATGAGGGTGAGTGTAAATAGGGTGTGTGTGTGTGTGAGAGAGAGAGAGTGTGTGTGTGTGTGTGATTTTTCAACAGCCAGCAGCAGAAAGAAACACATCTAATATAAATGTACTGGTATTCCAAACCTTGTCTTTTGGAAGGACCACACTGACATTATTTTACACTCTTTAGGAAAGGATGCAATTGAGAAACTTCATAAAAGCTCAGACACTCCATACTAGTTTTATTAATATTTCTAGAAAGTCAGTCAGGTGAATCTAAAACTTACTTTGCATGTTTTGTGTGGTGTTCAAAGCAGCCTGTAAGTATGACAGTTTAGAAAATGGACCCACCTGATGAGTGAGTAAACCAAAAAGTTGATCTCTTGTTTGGGGAAAAAAAAGCTTTCACCTGCCATCAGAAATCTGAAGAATGTATCACATTTTATATTTTCAGAATTCAGTGAAATTTTTACATAAACCTTTAAAAATAAAGCTTGCTAAAAATGCTGGTTGCTAGACTAAAGAAGTCATCTAGAAAGCTGGAGACATAATTCTTGGCATGTTTCTGCTGATGAATCCTAGGGGTGATTCCCAAGGGCCTCAGAAACTGGGACCATTCCTCTGCTTAAAGAAGAAATACCTACCTGTCCCTGCCCCCTGTGGAAACCATCAGGAAAAAGACATATGGGTCAAGGCCTCTTGAGGCTTTGGAAGGAAGATGATGGGTTCAGGCTGTGTCCCTATGCCCCTGACTCTAGGACAAATAGCTTGGAACAAGTGAACCCCCCAGGAAATTTTTGAAGGATGCACTTGTTTATAATGCATTCCCTCTATGGAACATATACTAGAGTGCACTATAATGTCAGCATCATGGGTATTAGATCTTTTTGTCTTCTGTTTACATCTTATTTCAATACCTACATGCCTGACATATCTGTGCCCCAAAATAATCATGATTATTTTTCATGCATGAACAGATGCTGTAGTTTCTGATGCCTTATTCCTACATGCAAATGAGAAAATAAAGGCACATAGCAACAGATGAATTCAGGTCACATAGAAAATAAACAGGTAGAGTGTCCAAAGTAAAAGTATAAAGTTTGTGGAACTCCATACTTATCTTATAGTATTATTGAACAATATTTCCACCTGGGAGGCAGGGGGAGAGTTCAAGGAATCACAGCAGTAAAAGTTAAAACACTCTAATTTCCCCCCAGGTTACAGGTGTTTGTTACATGCCAAGTGTATGGTAGGAAGACAAGATTAGAGTCTCAGAGACATCACAGTGGCAGGTGGGTGGCCAGTATGTATGGCCCGGGGAAAACCCTGAGAGCCTGGTAGCTGAAGGGAAGAACTGATGCCATACCCACTTCATATCCAGTCAGGAGGCCCAGCATTGGGCCTTGTTGCTAAGTGCCATTCTCCCTGCTATAACCAACTAGTAGGCAAGGTGGCTGCATCAAGCAAGGCCACCACTGCTTTTCCTCAAAGTTCCTACTGAAATTATTCATGGTCTATATTTCTGAAAAATAAAACTCTTAACAGCTGTGGGAAACTCTGAACGAGTTACCACCAGTGGATCAGAAGTTGTAGGGATTCCCAACAACTAAAAGTAGATGAAATCTGGATGGCAGGGAAATCAAAGAAAAACAGTTGAAGATGACAGAGGAAGGATTGTTTTTCTGTCCATGAAAACTCAGTGTTAATGAACAAGGAGGCTCAGAAGCTCAGTGTTAGTCAACAAAGAGGGTGGCTGTCAGGCGCAGGCTGAATTCATGAGTGTAGTGCTGAAGGGCTCTATTGTGAACAGCTGAGATGGGCGGAGGCCTCTCCCCTGTGCAAAAAGGCCAGGGGGCTTTGTTTCGGCTTAACCTTTGATAAATGTTTTCTAGAGGGTTAATGATTTGCTCTAATAAAGACTTCTACTGGGAGCACTGAGGCCCAACATGGGAGAAGGTGCAAAGGCCAGACCTCTGTGATAAATCCAGGGAAGGATTTAGACAGTAGGAAAGACAGTTCCATCTGGAAAAAAAACATACCAGAGGACTTTATGCCACTGACCTCACCACTGGGCCTGTGGTGAGGCCTTCTTACATGAGCAAGCAGGGGTCCACTGGCCACATACCCTTCAGGGAAGTCTGCCCACAGCATGCCCATTCACCCAGCCAAAAACCCATATACCCATGATGGGCACCCATGCCAGGCACCCCAGCTAATCAAAGTAGTCCTTCATTTGTCAACAAGACCCGACAATCAAGGATCAGCATGTATTTGAGACATAAAAAATAGGAAGGAAAAAGAAGGGCAGAAAGAACTGATCTCAGAAGTCAGAGGGGATACAGAAAAGTGATGGAACTTAAAAATTACACTAATAAGCTTGAAATGTTTTAAAGGACTCTGGCTCCATAAAATAAAAGTGTAAAGTAAAAGTATACTGTCATCAACAAAGGAATAGAGAATGAAAAAGGATTCTTCCCTTTAAAACAATCTCAGAATAAACATCAGATAGACAGGCTGAAGAGGATGGCTCTATGACCCAAGAAGTACACATACTGTAAAGTGTTCCTTCTGCTCTTGAAAGTTTTTGATCTTGAAATTCTTTGTCTTCTTGATATTTTCAGTGGTGTCTGATGTGCTCTGGCTGTAGTCACTTGCTGGAATGACAATGAGTCAAAGGACTGAAAGGATATTCCCTGCCATTCCCACATATGAGAGCTATGCTACTACCAGGCCTTTCAAAAGGTTAGAAGAAACAACACGGCTTTGGTAGAAATATTTCTATGAGTAAATGTGGAAGGAAGGACTCCTAGGGCCACTCCCTCATTCTGACCTGAGAGTGGGTGGAAAGAATGGCAATTGAAGAGCCTAGTTTTCAGTCTAAAAGAACATCTCCCCCTACCACCACCAATATATTTCCTCCTTCACTTCTGAAAAGCCAGAGAAATGAAAAGGCTGGAACATAGAGGATGCTCGAGGGAGCCGGCAAACTTTAAGCAAAGTCACTCTTGCCAAGTCAGTGTGCTTGAAAATCCCCAGACAGGTACAACTCACCCAAGCTGGACCTGCTGCTGAACAGCCCATTACCACCCTCAGTGACACCGCTCAGAAAGTGGTCGCTGAAATTCACCGCCTTGCCGAGGTAAAGGTTCTGGCCAATGACAAAATTCAAGCAGATGACGAGGCTGCTGTTCCAGCAGGAAGAATGAACTGCTCTTGAAGATGACAGCTCCAACTACACAGTCCGCCTGCAACCTGGCTTCCTTCCTGATGCCTCCCTCACCTCACTAACCTTGTGTTCACTTGGCCCATGCAAAGTCTTCCGAGTCTGGCCCTTCCTCTCTGTCACTGCAGCCACAGCCCCCTCCTCTAACACTGCAAAAGTCTACAGGCTCCTGAGACCCACACTCCCTGTGGCTGCCTCAGCTGCCTTCACGTAACTCAGAACTAGCAGGGCCTCCCCCTGCCTTGTCCTGTGTTCTGCCTCCTCTTCTCCTGAAGCACTTCATGATCCAAGCTCTGCTTTAGTCACACAACCTTAAAGAGCATTAGGTGCTTTGCTTAGTTTCAAAGAACCTGCATTAACCTACTGGATACTCCCAGCTTCCTTTGAGATAGTAGGGCCCATGTATCTCTCTTACTTTTAAAGACAATGTTTGCACATAATCAGGGCCTAATAAAGGTTAGTCACCTGTATTTTCCTTTCTTGACCTATATTCTCAATCCATTAATTATTCTTTTGAATAGTTTGATTTCCTGTCCAGTGAAGTACCAGCTGCTGTTATCAACCTATCACACACTTCTTACAGGCTCTGTGGTGATGCCCCCACCCCATATAAAAGGGCAGATCAAGAAGACATGGCCACAAAGTTTGGTGTATTTTTTTATAGGCAAATAGATCAATCACATATCAGCAAACATTTTTGAGAGCATATCCCAAAACTACTTAACCTGTCTTTGAATTAGTCTGAGGATTACAAGACAAATAGAATATATGACAAATCCTATTCTTATGTACAGAAAAGCTGGCTTGTCTGAAATTTAGCTTAGTTGTTTACCTAATTTGTGAAGTTGTTGACTAACTTACATTGAGGTTTTCTAATATTTGAAACTTTTCCTTCTTATGGATTATGCAAGAGCCTTTCAATAAATTACAAACCACCATTTACTAGATCAATTCATTTTCAGATGAACAGCTGCTAAAGGTTTTACATACCTTTTTTGAGACTTGAATATAGTTCAGCCTGATGCTAACTTCATAGCCATCTTGATGGACAGTAGCAGAAATAAGCTTTTAAGGAAGCATTTGAGAGAATTCACAACTGTGGGCATCAGTTCCAACACAGAGTTAGTTCAACATCACAAGCCCACCCGAGGGTGGGGTGGGGGCTAGAGATTCCACCTTCTGAAGGGCAAATTGTTCACTTCACAGGAACATTCCTACCCCTAACTTGAAGGTTTGGTATGAGGACTAGAGATGGTGATCACGAGGCAGAGAATGAGGGCACTGTTATATTTGTTATTGCTGTTATCATGGTATATGAGTTAGGTGCACAATTTGTCTGGATTACGCAGTTAGTTCTAAATTTCCACAGTGTGAAATGAAAAGCACACAGTGTTCACAATCTTAGTGTCTTAGGTAGATGCCCAGAAGCAGAACCTGAGAAAGGAGCCATGTGCAAGAAGAGATCTACGTCAGGTAAAGTCCATGGAAGGAACCTGGCCTCCGGGGTGCTCTGGGATGGAAGTTCTAGCCAGTGTTCGCTTACCTTTCCCATCCTGGGTTCTGCAATCAAGGCGCGAAATTCAGGGTTGTTTTGAGCATAAGACCTGAGGTGAGCAGAGATGTGATCCAACTGTTTTCTCCAGTATCCTGAAAGGAAAAGAAACCCATCCACATGGATAGTTCTAAGACTAAGGAAGAAAAATGTTGAAATGTGTTCTCAAAGAGGTTATTTTTCTTTGCCAAACTTTGTGATGTACTAGAATATGCTCTACTTTTGTTCCCAGCTTCATTTTACATGATTAATTGTAGAATATTATACAATCTTAAAAGAACATGTTTTGATTGCCACATATGGGTCTGTTTTATTACCTTTAAAAAATAAATAAACCTATTTTAAATGTATACTTTGGGTTTGGGGAAGTATATACATCCTACTCAATATGCAGAATATCTCTGTCACTCTCTTTCCAGACTGCATAGAATTTAAAATCCGTTTGAATTTATTGCCACCATTTAGAACTGGGGAGATTTCACTTAGGGCTAGATTCCAGGTTTCTTGTATACAGGTGGGAGATGCAGCAGTGATGCTTGGCTGCTTGAGGCAAAGGGCAGCTGCCCACTTTGGTAGGGCAGGGGCCTTCCAGGTGGTCATAGCTGGTTGTCTACCTTTACTTTCCAGCTCAGCCCTGTGGACAGCTGAGTCTATAAGCCAACATTGGATCCCACCTCTTCATTTTAACAGTGGAGACAGTAAAGCTGAAAGCAAGCTAGTGGTATTTCCAAGGTCACTCAGCATGGCTTAGTGGAAAGGGTACATGGTTTGGATTCAGGAAAACCTGAATTTAAATCTTAAATTCACCATGTAGTGGCCTAGTGAACCTGAGTCAGACATTAAATCTTGTTAAGCCTTACTTTCCTACCTCTAAAGTGGGACTAATACTTCTTACCTCAGATGTTATTATGGCATCAAATAAGAGAACCTGAGTGTCTTATTTTGGGTTCCACTGACAGGAAGACCTGAGACAATGATTTAGGACAGGTGGTTTCTCTCATAGCCAGCCTGAGGAGCACAAGTGATGGAACAGAAACAGCAATACAGGAAGAGAGTTAAGTCAATAAAGAATTTGTTAAAAAATGGTTAATTCTCTGGGCAGCTGGGTTTCCACCTTCTGAGGACCTGTGAGGGACCATGTAGAACATGTCTCACAACTGACCACTGCAAGGTAAAGACACAGGAACATTATTTATAATAACCTAGCAGTGGCCAGAGCTCAAATGTCCACCACCTGATGAGTGGGTAAACAAGTGCCCTAAGTCCACACAGCAGAAAATTATATAGTCATATAGAAAAGAAACAAGAATGAAGTACTGAAATGTGCTACCTGGATAAACTTTCCCTTACACTAAGTGAAAGAAGCCATTTACAAAAGGCCATGTGTTACATGCTTCCATTTTATATGTCTGAAGAAAGCAACTCCATAAAGATAGAAAAAAAGACTACCAGTTGCCAAGAACTTGGGAGAAAGCAGGCAAAGAACTCAGGGTTTATTTTTGGGGTGATGAAAATGTTCTGGAAACAAAGTGGTGATGGGTGTACAATCTTGCTAGTATACTAAATGTCACTGAATTGTATATTTTTAAATGGTTAAAATGTTTACTTTGGTTATGCAAATTTTATCACAGATAGAAAAAAGAGCTAATGGCAGAGAGCATTAATGATAAAGACTAACAACATGTCTACCCTAACAATGGAAATCCTTACATACTATTTAGTTTGGGAACTGGAAAATGAGTGAGTCAAAACCTCAGAGTGCTAAAAGTTCGAGGAAATGCAATTATTCATGTAAAGAAAAAATAACTTGAAAAAAGAAAAATAAAGGAGTTTTTTTTTTTTTTGGTACATAATACCTAAAGAAGAAAATGCCATTTTCTTTCAGAGTAAGAGTGAATTCCCTCCTGACAAGAAAGCATATCTCTCCTCACCTCTTCCTGGACTGACAGCTGTGAGGAGAGGTCTGTGGTCACTCATTTTCTCCTGTTTCTGCTTTTGAGAAGCCATTTGCAGTTCCTTTTTTGCTAGTAGCTTGCCAGATGGGTAGAAAAGACCAGCAGTCTGTGTGCCCACATTCTTCTTAGTCCCAGGTTTAGATTTGTGCAAAGGAACACTTAGGGACTGCCAGGCAGATCGAGGCTATATGAGCAAGACAGAAAACATTAAAAAATTATATAACACAATTGAATTAATTTTCCATTTTGCTCACAGAGAGCAGTCCTAATCAGAAGTAAAAATATCACCAAGAAAATGTACTTTAAGCTACAAGGGGGTTTTCCACACCGTTGCCTCATCTTCCATACTCTGTCTTCCCAGAAAATCCCAGACTAATCTTTGAGGCCAGCTCCCTTTCCATGGCCTTTCACAGCCTAAAACTCAGTAATCAGCGGATGCTCCTGTCCTGCCATCTGAGCCTAGCGGACACCTGCTCTCTCAGCTCAAGTCCAGTGGAGCACAGACTTTCTAATCCATCCACACTGCTGGGTACATCATCATCTCTGAGACACTTCAGTGCATCTGATCCTGGCAACCGGAGAGGACCACATACAAAGTCGTGTAGGCTTTTGCACTACACCAATGGTATTTCACCTACAGAGGTAAATGTTCCATAGAGGATGTCAGCTATTTGCATATTTATTAGACAACTTTTCTGGTAAGTGGAAGGGAATTTCCAACAAATGACCATCAGGTATCTTGAGAAAAGAACATCTTTGCCTCATTTGCAAAAGGTGCCATGTGGGCTATTAGCAATCCCAGGATCTGTAAGTCTTTAAATATGGGTTAAGGAGGTAATGAACACTGGAAAAATGAATGCAAAGTTGCTGGGTACATGTATAATCTCTTTATAATCTTCAAATTCTTCTAATGAAGAGATGAGAAGAAATCTGAAAAGTCTCTGAGTTTTAAGACATTCATACAAGGCTAACACAAAGATGGTTAGAAACTGCATTCTGAAACAACATTGTGGGATTTTCCCCAAACTATGGCCCATTGTTAAAAATGGTAAGAGTAATTTTATATCCCTGACATATGGTGTCTAAAATATAAAAGAGTAGGGGAAGAGTTCCTGGTGTACCTTGTAAGAAATTTAAGAAAAGGGAAACATGCTATCCCATATACTTTAAATTCACTCTTGCTAATGACATTGTACCGATTGCTTTGAGAGTGCAATTAGGCCCTCAGCTACTACAGATAAGGGCATATGTAGATATTTAACTTCTGAAGAACTCACCTGAGTGTACCTGAATCAATTGAACTTATCTACACATTGAAAAAATGCATATTTTGTTGAAAGTCATGTGGGAGGCCTAAATGTTTGCTTTCTTTCACTGGGCTGAATCACAGGTTGGAGCACAGATTCAGAACCACCACCTCTTCTCACTGGTTCTTACTACGAGAAAGCCTTACCTTAACAAAAGGGCCCGATTCTCCAGCAGCCAGAGTCAGACTGTTGTCCATGCTGAGTCTTGTCAAGTAGTTCACATAAATACCACAGGAGCCACAGAATCGGGCATATGGGTGATTGCTGGCCCCGCATTTAGCACAAACAGAGTAGCGTACAGGAGAGGCAGGCTGGAGGATGAGAAATATTTTAATGCTTTTATGAAAATTAGAATCATAATTTTCCCATTTCCATTATTCCCATACCACACAGTCTCTACAGCTTCTAACCCAACAGATCTCTCTGCCAGAATTTTTCCTAATTATGGAGAAGTACACAAAGAAGTATATTCAAGGCCATCATCCCCTGCATGACTGAGAGGAGAAAAGTGGAAACAACCTAACTGGTCTTCAACAGGGGATGACCTTATTATACACGGTACCTACTGACAGGGAATATTATGGAGCTTCTGAAAAGAATGATACACTGCTAGATAAAATGCCAGTTTACTTATCAATACTTTGAATGGCCAGAACACCACATCAGAAACGGACAACAGTGATTGCTTCTGAGCAGAGGAGCTGTGGGACTGGGACCACAAGGGAGACTAACCCTTCTCTATAAAGCTTTTGTATTTTGCATGCAACACTTATTCAAATAAAAAGGTACATAAATAATTTTGAGCATTTTATTTAAAAAGCAGGCAAACAGACAATTCATAAAAGGCAGATAACAGCAATGCCAATTATCAACAAATGAATGAAAAACCTTAAAGAAATGTAAATCAAAACATTTGATTTAAGAATGAAAGACCATCTTAATTTAAGAGAACTCATTGTTTCTGTCTCCAATTTCTTGGGTAAGTACCAGCTCCTAAGAAGTGACTTCTGCAAGGCTGTGGAAGAGAAGCCTGGTTCTCTCTAGGGTGGAGGCAAGGCACTCAGATAAAGCTCTGGTTAAGATACCCACCATGGTGGAGCTGGAAAAGATCATGCTTAGTGAAATAAGCCAGAAAGAAAAGGAAAAATACCAAATGCTTTCACTCATAGCAGGAGTATAACAGACCAGGCGAGAAAATAATAATAATGAACAGTTATATACCAGAGACAATTTATGGGGGTGGAGTGAGGAATGGGATCAAAAACAGTGGGGAGAAGGAAATGCACTGGACTTTGGTGATGGCACATGGGTGATTTGGTGATGGGAAGACCAAGGGGATTACAGCTGAGATGGAAAAATGCACAAAATGATGTAAAAATAATTATATTATTTTTTTAAAAAATCATTACCTCATGCCAATGGTGGGGAACACTTAAGTTTCATTTACAATTTTCAGTGGCATTTACCATAACCCGCCTAAGTTAAGTTTCCCTCATTTTGTAGAATAAACTAAATTAAATTTCCCTAAAAAAAAAGATACCTACCATGGCTCCACACCAGTCACAGAAGCAAGCTTCCTGGTGATTCTGGCGACCACATTTGAAGCCGGAAATGGTCTCCCCTTTCTGAGTGGGCATATGAGGGGCTTTAGCTCCCCTGTACAGGGACTGGTTGAACACAAGGTATTTATAGGCAGATCAATAATCTAGTCTCCAATTCCTCTCCCATCCATAAAAGAATAAAGCCTCCAATCAACAAAAGTCTTAGGAACATGATATTTTTAACCCCAAAGAGAAAAACTACAATACACTTCAATAAATTAATTAGTACAAAGAGCATGTATTTCTTTACACGAAGTCAATGAAACTGGTACCTATCACATTTTGATATTTCTCAGTATCTTTAATATTAAAAGTAGCAAGTCAGTATTGTTTTACGGTAACAATGAATAAAGGTGTGAGGAGAACCAGGTTCCCAAAAGTGACAATACTGAGGTTGCTCTACTGTCCTGTGGATTTTGGGTTCCATCTGGACATGTGAATTTATTTTATACTCCTGCCACAAAAAATTAATTGCTCTATTTTGGGGGAGGAAACAGAATTACTTTGTGAGAATTTCTGAGATTTGTTAGATGGATTAGCCTCTTCACTGCTCACTATTGCCTACTAAAAGTTTTTCTCATTTCACAAATGAACATGACTAGCATTCGTAATTTCTCTCTGATCACCTACTCTCAGCAGATACTATTCTGAGCACTGTCTCACATCAGTCAACACAGACCTCTGAAGTGGAGACCATCATTATCTCTATTTTACAGAGGTGGGAAACTGAGGCATAGAAAGGGTAAGACCCAAGATTTGAGCACAGATTATCTGACTCTGAAATTTGACTTTTATTCATGACTCCACTCAGTCATGCAACAGCTTCCCTATACATTTATAAAGGGATTTCAGATGGTTGATGGCAATGAAGCACCTAGGAATACTTAACACAAGCTCCATTTGTCATTTTATTCCTTCTCATTTTGTTTTTCAATAGATTTTACTTCCTTAATGGAAAGGGCTCTCATTCCACATTTTTTTCTCCACTTAGCACAGTACCTGTTGCCTTGGCATATGGCAGTCATTCAAATAGCTGCTGAATGAATGAATGAATAAATAATTGGTAAATGATAATTGATAAATGACCATGTATACTGCCACATATACCATGTGTAATACTAAGAAAGCACACATTGGGGAAAATGTTTTCTAAGGATAATTTTTCTTCAAAAATCAAAATTTTAGTCAACTTTATTTGCCCAGCTATAATCTGTTTCTCTTTAAGGATTTCTCTGTTATGCTAAAGTAGACAATGTATCCAGAAAGGACTGTGTCATCTCCCAACATCCACAAAGACTGAGAAAGATAATCCTTCTTGTCTTTGGGTACATTTACCCTTCCCCAAATTTCTGTGTAATTAGAGGGAGACCCCTTGGAATAAATCAAAGTCTGCTTTAGATTTAAATTTCAATTTATCTTACTATTGAAGCAGGGTTGTGATTAAAAAAAAAAACTTGCCAATTTGTATTTCTAACTATAAAACCTTCAGATCTTTCATTTAAATATATCTACCTTTCTATTGGACTTTTAAATTGTAACACGGCATTAAAAAAGAAAGTTAGTTTACTCCATTCACATAATGCCAAAGAAAGACCCTCAAGCTATCAGATGGGACTTGCATTATTACTTCTGTGATTACATGCTGATGATAAATGCTCTCACTGTAACATCTAAACTGTCATACTGCCCAAATAGAACTAAAACTTTGAAAATTAATTCAATTTTGTGATTGTTCCTGAAATAGTTTTGTTGACAGATTGAACAGTAACAACTATGTTACTGACAGTTAATAAAATCAATTTAAACTGCTTTACTACTTTTATAAGAATTTCAGAATATCTGAGTGTATAAATCTTTTGAGTGGCAATATAAATATATTAACAAGATCAGTCCAAAAATGTCCAAGAACTACTGTTTTCTTTGTTATGCTTGTTTGTGTAATCCTGGAAAATTATAAAGAGTAATTTCAGGAAGGGTGACATAAAATTGAAACCCTGTTAAGTCAAAGATATCAATAATAGACTACCCCCTAAAATATCATCAGATTTTATTTGAAAATAATTATGTATTTTTACTAAAATTTCCAGCCAACTAGTATATTTTTAGTGTCAGTTCTGAAAAAGAAATATAATAGTTACTATTTTTTTTAACTACATATTTTCCTTCTGGTAATGGCAGAATAAGTAAGACCATACTAAATGAGTCCCATACAGCAAACTACCACAAAACAAATACACACAAGGAGCTATACAGTTAGTTCCCATCTTCATGGCTTTTAGCCTGCCCCTGAGGGCAGCCCACACTGCGATGGGAAGTGGTAGGAAAGGGAAGTATTTGTATCTAGAACCAGAAAGGTAAGGGTCACTGGGAAATAATTGTAAAAGCCTATTCTTTACCATAAGCATTTTTAAGAAAGATTTATGTAATAGAACTACTGAGGTATAGGCCAGAGGTACAGGAGCAGAGAGAAGATTCACCAGAGACAGAGTGGGGAGCAGAACAGGCAGACTGACAAAACACACCGCTGAGGGGAGCAGCAGGCGAGACATGATAGGTCTGCTGCACCATGTGGGTCACCACCCAGCTGGGGATGGAACTCCTGCTGCAGTGCAGCACTGCAGCCAGCTTTGCAGTGCTGCACTTTAACTCAGAGCAGCACCAGGGAGGGACCTATCATTAGCATTTGTAAATACAAATCTGGTCATCTAAACTGAACCCCTTTGCTATATTTCAGTTGCATTTTTTCCCACTCCTTCACTTTAAACACTCAAAAGAAGTTGGCAGGAGATCCAATAAATGGGAACACACCAAGTTCTCAACTCTCAAAACAGCATGTGCTCATATGCCTGATAAAGACATTCCTGAAATGTGAAAGGGCTCACTCCCCACTGGCTGCTGCCAGGCTTCCATGCAAAGCTACTAGATATAATTATAAGACATCACTGACTTTACTGAATCCCCTTGAAGCTAAAACTTTCAAAACAGGGCCCTCCTTGGTGGTGCAGCAGGTTAAAGCACAGCACTAAGAAGCTAAGGCCACTTCATCATGAGTTTGATCCCTGCCCTGGAGGTGACCCACATGGCGCAGCAGACCTCTCCTGACCCACCTGCTGCTCCCCTCGGCAGTAGACTTCGTCAGTCAGACTGTTCTGCTCCCCACTCTGTCTCTGGTGAATCCTCTCACTGCCCTTGCATCTCTGGCCTGTACCTGTTTTGTGTGCATAAATAAATCTTTAAAAAAAAAAGCTTTCAAAATAATAATATGTTCATTAAATATAAAGTTCTCTCCACATACAGAAATATAGTTTTCAGTTTCAACATTTCCTTCATAAAAAGAAGCTTGGGGGTGTCTCTCGCTACCCTTCTACTGTGCTCCACAGATAACATTTCTTCATTATCACAAACACTGAACAGTCAGCAGCCACTAAAGATGGACTGGCACATGCAGCAAACCTACCTCTTGTGGAGAAAGTAAGGCCCCCTCACAGGTGACACAGTGCTTCAGGTGAGCAGGATTTCCTGTGCCACAGGCACGGCAGATTAATTTCTCCTTGAAAACAGAGAATAAGAAACACATGTTCTTCTGAGCAAGTAACTGTGCAAAGAAATCATCAAGTAGTCTTTTCAATTAGTCGGTATAGACCCTATTTTAATAAGCAAATCCTGAAACTGTGTTGGCTTGTTATAATTAGTGTCAAACTGAACATACTTTTAAAAGAAACAAAACCCAAAATGAATATTTTTTTAAAGATTTATTTATTTGTGCATACAGAGCTGGGGTACAGGCCAGAGGCTCAGGGGCAGTGAGAGGCTTCACCAGAGACAGAATGGGGAGCAGAACAGGCAGATCACGAAGTACACTGCTGAGGGTAGCAGTGGGCGGGTAAGGAGGGGCCTGCCACACCATGTGGTCACCTCCGGGGCTGGCGGGAATCAAACGCATGCGGAAGTGGCTTTAGCTTCTCAGTGCTGCGCTTAACCCGATGAGCCACCAGGGAGGGCCCAAAATGAATATTTTTTTAAAGATTTATTTATTTATGCTTACAGAACTGGGGTACAGGCCAGAAGTGCAGGGGTAGTGAGAGGATTCACCAGAGACAGAGTGGGGAGCAGAACAGGCAGATTTATGCAGTATACTGCTGAAGGGAGCAGCAGGCAAGACAGATGAGGTCTGCCACACCATGTGGGTCACCTCCCTGCCTGGTGATCGAACTCATGCTGCAGTGGCTGCTGAGAGCTTCATAGTGCTGCACTTTAACCCCCTGTACCACCAGGGAGGAGTCCCTGAATATTTTTTAGAAGGATTTCTGAAAATTTTGCATTGATATCATGTGACTTTTTTTTTTTCATTGTGGAAAATGTGATGGTTGACTCTACCTTTCATGGCTTGAATGATAAACAGAAAAGCACTCAACCAGGAAAATTTTACCTGTGTGTTCACAGGAAATCTAGTTCTTGGACTGGGATTTATTTCATGAAGCTTTATGTCAAATATTAATAGTAATTTATTCATATTTAGTAATGCCCTGTAGTGTCTCACTTAGAAAAGGAAAAGTGAAGACTGTCTTAGAAAACAAATAGTAAGTGAAATTTTCAGAGTTAGAGACGTGAAGATAAATTGCAATATAGAAAAAACAAAAGACAAAGTAATAACAGGCAGAAGAGTCTAATTAGAGTTCAGCTACCAGAGGTTTATTCATATCTGTTTAGTTACTGAACCATCCTGAGCTATCAAGATACTATCTTCTTCAATTGCCAATGGCCAGTGACATTTAAATGTTCCTTTCTACTGTAAGACCTGTGTTTCTTTGGTGTCCTGAAACTGATATATTGCTACTTTTGTGAAGCTGGTAAAGTAAGGAGAAAGATAAAGAAAACTAAAGTCCAACCCCTAGGTTTATACTTCCAGTGACACCAGGTAGTCCTGTGAAGTCTCCTTATCTTCAAAATTCTGCCTAAGTCCACTTCAGTAGGAGACTTGAAGGTTTTCCTCGGAACTTGAGACAACTCAAGGAAGCTCAGTGCCCATGCCAGAAAACTCCTAAAATACAGATACAAGTCACTCTATCCAAAACAGCAGAATTGCTGTCAATGGGGACACTCCCTGGTTCCTACATTCTTCAAAGCTGCTTAAAGCTGCTCACTGTAAAGCTAGAGTTTAGGACTGCAATCTTGCTGAGGAGCTTAGAAAAGTTTTAGTGAAGTCTATCGAGAAGCCAAATGAAATCCCTGTCCCTGTTTCAAAAAATGAGATCAAACAAAAAATAATCTAGCTGTGCAGAAATACATAACCTAGAAAGAGAAGACTAGACATCAAGTAAATGGCTTCCTTATTAAGTCCAACAGCTTACCTCATGATCCTTACCTTGCAGGGCTCACAATTCAAAACTATTATGCCCTAACATAGAGGTGAGGTGGGGGCGGGGAGAGGGTACATAAAATCTAGGTATCCCCATTTTACTAAGTATATATATACACCAAAATATCACTTTAATTATATAAAATTTTTTTAAATAAATAAAAATATAAACTAGCATTTTTATTTTTAAATAAATAAAAATATAAACTAGGCTTAACCCTGTCTTGCAAAATTCTTTCTTAAAAATATTAATAAACTATTTTTAGAGCAGTTTTAGATTCACATCAAAATTGAGTAGAAATTATAACAGGTTCCCTTACGCTCCTCACTTCCTCTTACACACACATTGACAACCCTCCCGCCCCCACCAAGGACATCCTGCACCAAAGTAGTATATTTCCTGTAACCAAAGAAACTCTACTGATGCATCATTATCACCCAAAGTCCGCAGCTTCCCTTAGGGTTCACCATTCCCTTCCCTGTCTTTTTCCTCTGAACTTAGATATACGATGAAATACTAAGTCAAAGTGTTCTGTCTCACTATCAGGTCCAATAAATGTAGCTCTCTTCAGCAGCAGATTTCTCTAGTTGCTTTTGAAACCATGCCATGGTTCACAATCTTAAGAACAGTACTATGACCCAAAGAGAGAAATACTTTTATATCCTAATTAATATACTCATAGATTCCAATGTGTTCACAAGGGTGATTTGACGGGACTGAAGACACCATCCAATTGCCTTAAGGAGGAAACTAAATGTCTATGAAGACTTTACAACAAAATCATCTCATTTGCTGTCTCATCCACAGCATCCACAACAAATCTAAGCAATTCCATGCACTCAACAGTCACTGGAATTACACTTTTCCTTACAACATAGCTAAAAGAAGTGATCATCTCTCTCCCCCAAAATTGTACTTAAAGGGGATTATTCCTGTGTTTAAATGATACTC